GAAGATAATATTTTTGGCTCCAGATGATGGGAAAGCAAAAGAATGTCTTTCCTGTTGTTCCAGTAAGCTGATTTTTTGCAACTAGTTTATGACTTCAGTACTTCAATACTTAGCAGATTATTTGAAAGCTCTTTTGGGGGTAATCAGGAAAGAAAAAAGGAACACATACAAATGCTTCCCACCCCACCCCCATCCTTTTCATAGGAGCAAGAACTAATTCCCAAAATCAAAACCAAAGTCCCTAGAATCCTAAGCCAAACGAGAACCTTTTCTCATTGACACCTCATTAAACTGAGATTCGAGAAAACAAACGTTTAAGCCTGATTGAGGCCTAGGCCACACTTAATCCAAGTATTTTCTTGTAGGCTGGATTCTAAAATATAAGATAGTAGATCCTTATCCTGTTTCTGTCTAGTCCAGGATGGTAGATATACTTCATCTTTCATGCCAGGTTTGCTTCATTGTATGGATGTCATGGTGAAAAGGATTCTAGGCCTTCTTCTAGGCTCCAGAATTAAATAAATGGATCAATGATGGCTACCATAGGCAAATGGCTAGGAGGTGGTGATGCAAATTGACTGTCCTTGGACTGGCCCCCTGATTCTCCATCTGACTGCACGTACCTGGGGAATTTTCAAAGGCGTGGGCTGCATCCATAGAGATTCTGATTGAGTTGTTATGTGTAGCCTCTGATCATATTTTCTTACTGTGCACAGATGATTTTGTTATGCAATCACTGGTCTAGTCCTTACACCAGTTCCCTGAAGCACAAACCAATTTTGGGAGGACAGAAGGTGTTCAGTTCTACATGTGTCAAATTTGAAATAATAGCAAGACATCTAAGTGGGAAAGGAAGAGCCAGTGAGAAATTGGGGATAGAGACCTGGGAATTATTTGGTCAACATAGCATTATTACTTGAAACCCTAAGGATGAGTTGCTGAGCTTTTCAAGAAAAATTAAGATCCAGAAGAGGCCTGAACTTTGGACATGCCCATCCTGCTTGAAGTCGTTGCTGTGCAGTACAGATACAATGAAAACATGCAGTTGCTGTCGCAGAGCAGGGATGCAGCTGGGCCTTTGGAAGGGGTGGGAACCAGGGACCCCACCACCCACCCCATCTGCATCCCCTGTCTCCCCTCCCTGTCTTTCACTTCTCTTACCTGAGCGGGCACTACTTCCTCTACTCACTATCCCTGTGGTGAGATGAAACATGGCCACTAACAGTTCTCCAAGTTCATATCTTTTAACTACAGCATGGAAGGAGCTGCCGTCCTACTTGGTCCCAATTCCAGAATCCCCAGGGAAGGAACTATGGCTGATCTAGTTTGGGACAGCTGTGGCTAGTGTGGGAGGGGAGGGCCCTGTGGAGTGACCTCTGGGAGTAGTGGGGGGAAGGTCAGTTCCCAAAGCAGCAGGAGTGTTGTGCAAAGCTCCATTCCTCTCACCCTCTCAGGAGACAGGGCAGGGCACTGGGCAGAAGACTAGGAGACTGTGGTCTCCCTGAAAACCACCGAGTGGTTCATTCAAGGAGAACACATGTAAAACCCAGTCCCCACGGAGTCTGGGCAACAAGAACGATTGAACGATTGAGGAAAAGCTGCTCAGTTTGACAACGATGCCATGGCGCTGCTCTCCTTCAGCATTTGCTTTCAGTAGAACAGAGTTCTTACTGGGGAGTTCCTGGACCCCTAGGGGACCCCTAGATAGGCTTCAGAGGTCTGTGAGCTCGCTGAAATTGTATATGGCAACACAGTGTTTTTATGCTAAGGCATATTTTCTGGGAAGATAGTCAGTAGCTTTTCTCTAAGTGATGTGCAGTAGTTTAATGAGGTGGGAGCCAAATTCCAGGAGTTTAAGGAGTAGGTAATGAGGAAGTAAAGGTAGGGAGCCACTCCTTCCTCTTCCCCTAAGCCTGCTGAGCTTATTCCCAACCCTCTTTTGGATCAGTTTCTACCCAGAAGGTTGATCCAGTCAACTCTAAGCAAGTGGGTGTTTTAGTTCAGCAACTCACATAGCAGAGTTCATCTGGGAGTTAATCATAAACTCTCCTAGTAGTTGAAATGCTGACTGCTCCGATCTCTTCATATGTTTATGTCACTCCTCCCCAGCTGTGAGCCCTGGGGCAGGTACCTGCACTTCCAGTCAGCTGTCCTTGTGGATCTCTACTTTCCCCTTGTATTGATGGGGACTCGTTCCGTTGAAAGTTCTGGAATCGGCTGCAGGAGTTTCCCAGAAAGAAATTCTGTTGGCTCTTAGAACCGGGAATGTCAAGGCACAGCTGGGTTCAGAGGCTGAAAAGGTCTTCAGGGCTTTCTCTCTCTACCTTTTGGCTTCATTCTTAGGCCCTTGCATATGTCAGAAAGATGGCTACAGCAGCCTCAGTCTGCATCCTTTTGTTCATGATTTACAAGCAAGAGAAGCCATTCTCTGCCTATGCTAACTTTTCAAGTTCATAGAAGGCTTCTGCTTGGCTCTGACTTGGTCACATGCTCATACCTAGCCCCCAGGTGGGAAGACGCAATGGGTACCATTTCCGGCCAGGCCACATTTGACTGGTCACTCCTGTGGCCACAGTGACTGAGAGCACCCCAAAACCATACAGGATGGGGAAAGGGCAGAGTCCCAATGGAAAGGGGGTGTTGGGCAGACAAAGACAACTGATGGCCAGTGTTGAGACCCAGTGGAGAACTCACCAGAATTGATGGCAGGAGTGGTGGGTTTCAATGTGATGCCCACATAGACTTCTCTATCAACCAGAAAGCTCTGTAGTATTTGGAGCCCTGCAAAGGATGGAGCCTTTCTAGGGGCAGTGGGGCAGGGACCTGGAAGTTCAAGACCCTGTGGGAAAATTCTGCATGAGGGCCTTGATTTTAAGTTAGGCCCCTGATTGCCAACAAAGGCTGCCATAGTGAATAATTGACGCGGACAAGTGTATACCCATTCTCAACACCTCAGGAAACAGGCTTGCAGAACCAGCTATGCAATCTGCCCTGTATTTTTCTAAGCTTAGAAGGAGTTTGCAGTTGAATCAGTTAGCAGGGTGTTTCTTCATGAGCCATTCTTGAGAGATTGCTGTGTGGTGCTCAGGGCGAAGGGATGAACATGGTCTGCAGGTGTGTACCAGCTGGTGGGAGAAATGGCCAAACACACAATGAGCCGCAGACCAGCCAGTGGGAAGGGCCTGCCATCATGCTCAGTTGTGTCTGAAATGGGCTTCTGAGGCTGTTCTTGCTAATCACAGTTCTCCTCGCCTGCCAAGCGTGTCCTGGACTCTGTGTCTCTGTTCGCCTGGGTGAGCCCACGTGGATGGCCTCCCCCGCTCCCGATTTCAGCTAGTCCTGTCCTCCTCTCAAGGCCAGTGCTAGTTCCTCCTCTGCAAGGACTCTTCAGCCCCCACCTGCCCAGGGCCTCATGCAGGAGTGCGCAGTGGAAGAGCCAGAGCTTCAGTGTTGGGCGCTCCTGGTCTGAGAGCTGCCCGCCCTTCACCTCCCTGAACGCATGTCCTGAGGTGTTAAAGGAGGGTGTTCATGGCTGACCCACAGAGTTCTTAAGGATCCAGTCCGATAAGGTGTGTGAGGCTGCCTGAGCATAGCACAAATGGGTTTTTTTCTCTGAACCATTTTAGAGGCAAGAATGGTTGCAGCCTGTGTAGAATGACATTTTGTCCTGATTTATTGTACTAAATCTACACTGAACAATACAGTGGAAATATAAAATTCTGTGTGCTTTCCCTGCTGGAAGGGATTTGACGCATTGTGGCATGGATTCGATTATTTGAATCTGATGAATAGCAGCAATTTTCTGGCCTCGTAAGTGGCTGTGGAGCTGCTTCATTATTGATGATGCCTGTGTCCACGGAGGATTGCTGGTGGGGGAGCTTTTCTGTTACTCTGACAGTGTGATTGCCGAGGAAACTTAAAATATACTTCAGAGAAGGCATGGTGTTTTCAGATTTAAAGGTGGGGCTGTAATGGTCAAAATCTGCCATCTGCCTGGCTTATACCAGCACATTGTGCATTTGAAGAAAATTAGAAGTGAGCCATTTGTTTAGGCATTCTTGCCAGTTAAGAATTTGGAGCTCCAGCTCTGTGTGGCTAGGACCCCAACATCTGAATTCAGTGTAACAGCTGCCTTTGCTAACCTGCGGCTCGGGGGCAAAACAGCTGTGGCCCCACTGGACCTGGCAGGGAGTCCCTTTCCTGGTTTGTAGAATGGGGCTCAAAGGGCTGGATTGTTAGGGCGGTGGAAGGCACAGTGAGCTGATGTTTTTGAAGTACCCCCATGGTGCACACTGCTAAGTGAATTCTCTTCTTCATCACCTTGTGGTGCATGCACTGGGAGCGGATAGATGGGGATGGAATGCTGAGTACCTGTGCCGAGGATGAACGGGAGCAGAGTCTCTGGGAGGTACTGGCTGGCCAGGCGTCCATAGTGACAGAGTGGATTGCATGAGGGCCTGTGGGAGACAGGGCCCCGCCTGGAGTGGAATGGCCCTGGGGCCATGCGGAGGCTCCTGGGATTTGTCTTATCTGAAGGGGGAACCAGCAGCACCTTTTGTTGTTTTAGGAGAACAGACTCTGGAAGTAATGTGGCGGATGGTGAGGAAAACTTGGGAAGCTGTTACAATGAGAAGGGCAGACAGAGGACCATAGGGTCTGAACTGGTGCAGTAGTGTGTGCACAGGGGGACCAGAGGAGTCAAGAGCCCCCCTGAAAGTAGAATGGACAGGACTTGGGTACAGATTGGATGTGGGGGCATGAGGGAATCATGAGAATTCAGGAATGACTTGGAGCTTTCTAGCTTGGGTAACTGGGTGGGTGACAATGCCAGAAACTGAGGGGGGGAAGAGAGGGGGAGGTCCGGTGTGAGGAGGAGAACAGAATACAGTCAGATGCCTCCATGACTGTAATATGCACACACACCCACAGAGCGCTGCTTTCAACTGTGAAAAATAAAGCATGACTCCAGGAGTACTAACCCACTTTCCTGACTCCTATCCCTGTAGGAACTTCAGTCACAGACAAGAGGGTTCCGAGTTGACCCCTCGACAGAATCCAGAACAAGCTGTTTCGTCCTTCCGGAGTCCCTGTGGTTCCAGTTGGTGCTAAAGAGACAGTAGATTTCACAGTTAACTTGGAGTCTCAGTCTCCATGAGCCCTGAGGTCCCTAGGAGACCTTGGGGAGGCCCAGGAGGCCCATATTACCATTAGGAAGTTAGGTGCAAGTCCTGGCTCTGCTGCCAACCAGCTGAGACCTTAGGCAAGTCATATAGCCTCTTGGAGTGTCTCCTCTTTCAGCTATAGAATGAGACTCATTATGACACTTGTGAGGCAAAAATACGGTATGTCCAAATGCCCTAACACAGGGCCTTGCCCAGTGGAAATACCATTAGCAGCTCTGTGGCCTCTGTTTCTGTTGCTGCTACTTTTATTGGTGGCTGTATCCAGCCATAGTTCAGGGTGTGTATGTGGGGTTTAAAATCTGCTTGTGTCCTCTGAAGAGTGCTCATGGAAAAAGTGAGGCCTGGTCCTAAGTGTTGTATTTTCACAATGAGAAACCAGAGTAAAGTTCTCATGATTAATGGAGAGCTTGCCTATTCCTTCATTTCCTTCATGCATTCATTCAGCCGCAGTTAAAGTTGTTCTAAGGAACTCACCAGCGAGTAGGGGAGACTGACATGAGAACACCTAACTATGGTGAAATAATAGAGACATTATAAGGTTCCCAGTACCCGGGGAACAGGCAGGCAGAGAGCAGAGAGGGTGTGACCTGCTGGAGGTGGAGGAGCAGAGAAGGAAGGCTCAGAGCGTGCTCTCGGGCTGGGCCGAGGTAGGTTGGATGGGTGGCCGCCTTTTCCTGACGGCCAGCGTAAGCCTTGGGGGCTGACCCAGTGCTCCGGGATGGAGAGTTGGCCTCCTCAGATGCTGCTGCAGGTGTGGGGCAGGAGGCTGTGGGTGACGGAGAGCCACGGAAAGGCTTAAGGATCTGCATTTAAACTCATCCGACAGACAGCTAGGTCCGGAGGGAGGTCTGGCGAGGGAGAGGTCTGTGAAGTGCAGGGAAGGGGGGTGCGCCTGAGAGAGGGAAGCCCTGGGGAGGGCAGCTGGGTGTCACACCCCTCTGGATTCTGAACCGGGTCGCACTGGAACTGGAGAAGGCCCCCAGCTCTGAGCTTGCAGTGGGGCTCCAGCCCTGGAGATGGAGAACAGGCCTTGGCAAGTTCACTGTGCATAAACTGTTCACCTGTCAGGGCCTGTTTGCCCTGGGCACCCCGGGGCTGACTGCTTTCCACTGGCCTCACAGGTACTGCATGCGGGCAGTTTCTAGCTCCTAAGGTCTCTAAAGGCACGGTGCCCTGTGGGGTTTGCCTTAAACAGTAGCCTTGCTGCCGGACTGCCCGTTCAGCCCGTGCATTTGACACACTGGCTCCTCTGAGGTTTTGTTTGTTTGTTTTTCTAATGGGTTTTTCTCTTTTCTTTTTTCCAAGTTACATAAACAGTATCAGCACCAGGGGACAGGCTTGAGAAGTCCAGAGCTGCAGTCAGGGACCCAGCCAGGAGAAGAGCTGGCCTGCTTGCTATCTTGGGAGGATCGCCCAGGGATGCCTGGGACTGAGCTGGGCCTTTACCTCTGGGGTCTCAGCTGGATAGCTGGCAGGGTGAGGAGAGGATAATGAGGGCTGATAGGAGGGAGCTGACAGGCCTCTGGACTGGCTGGAGGTCGGGACTCGCCCCTCCCCAGCTGTGGTCTGCCTCTTCTGTTAGGTGGAGGCTGGGGGCTCTGGTGAGCAGGGACGATAGAGAATAAAGCAAGCTGGAAGCCCGGAGTTGGTCCGCTAAACACAGAAATACCTTTCTCTTCCAGAAAAAGTGTGCTCTCTCCTAGTATTCTTAGTTTGCTTTTTGTTTTCCTGTTTTAAATAAGAACACAGGTACTGAGAAACATTTCCTTACTGTAGTGCCAGGAGCAGTGTGCTTGGGACAGCCACTGCCCAGGTCATTTCTTCCAAGAGGGGATTTGAGGCCAGTGTCCCCACATGTTTAAAGTTTTCAGAAAAAGCTAGGAATCCAGATTGAGTGAGAAATCTCCCAATTGGCTCAAATCCTTAAAAATAAACACTGCAGGCCAAATGAAAGCTGTCCACGGGCCAGGTAAGGCCCGGGGCCATGGTTAGTGTTCTCTGTGCTAGATGGGCCTCACCTGTCCTGCCTGGCTGTGCACAGCCCGGTGTGATTTGTCACCTAGGGGAGGAGAGGACACTCGACAGGATTGAGTCCACTCGAGATTCTTCTCTGACATAAGCCGTTGGGCCGGGGCAGGCCAAGTACCTTACCCAGAGTCCATTCTCTTTATCAGCACAACTAAGGACAGGACTGGATCTGTGGTTTTGAACCTTTTTTAAGCAGCAGAACCTTTGTTTAAACCAAATCTTGCAGGGAATAAATCACAGTATATATGACAGATGAAAACCAGAGCTGCCCCAGTTGTAGGGAGAGTGTGGAGCTCGGTCCCAAGGCTGCCTTCTGCCTCCCTCCCAGGGCACCTCTGCCAGGCCCCTCACAACAGTCTGGTGGCTGCCCACCTGTGGCTGGTGCTCTCCACCCCTCCCATCCCTGGCGCTCTGTAGGTTGAATGGGAGGAGACCAGCAGGGCTGGAAGGAGGGCAGTCCACAGCAGGCGGGCCCGTAGCTGGCTCCTCACCTGAATTCTGCCCAGTCCCTGCACAGGGGTGATCAGATAGCCCCTGGGTGTAGCCACATTTGCTGGGTGCTTCCCATGCATTTTTGCTGCCTCACATCATGCCCTCGAAGGTACGTGTCACTATTTCCATTTCACAGGTGGGTAAACCAAGACACAGAAGGAGGAAGTAAGTTGGCCCACAAGTTCACTTAGCTGGAATCTGGAGGAGCCCAGATTTCTCCTGGGCCTATGTTAGGTGGAGGCTGGGGGCTCTGGTGAGCAGGGACGATAGAGAATAAAGCAAGCTGGAAGCCCGGAGTTGGTCCGCTAAACACAGAAATACCTTTCTCTTCCAGAAAAAGTGTGCTCTCTCCTAGTATTCTTAGTTTGCTTTTTGTTTTCCTGTTTTAAATAAGAACACAGGTACTGAGAAACATTTCCTTACTGTAGTGCCAGGAGCAGTGTGCTTGGGACAGCCACTGCCCAGGTCATTTCTTCCAAGAGGGGATTTGAGGCCAGTGTCCCCACATGTTTAAAGTTTTCAGAAAAAGCTAGGAATCCAGATTGAGTGAGAAATCTCCCAATTGGCTCAAATCCTTAAAAATAAACACTGCAGGCCAAATGAAAGCTGTCCACGGGCCAGGTAAGGCCCGGGGCCATGGTTAGTGTTCTCTGTGCTAGATGGGCCTCACCTGTCCTGCCTGGCTGTGCACAGCCCGGTGTGATTTGTCACCTAGGGGAGGAGAGGACACTCGACAGGATTGAGTCCACTCGAGATTCTTCTCTGACATAAGCCGTTGGGCCGGGGCAGGCCAAGTACCTTACCCAGAGTCCATTCTCTTTATCAGCACAACTAAGGACAGGACTGGATCTGTGGTTTTGAACCTTTTTTAAGCAGCAGAACCTTTGTTTAAACCAAATCTTGCAGGGAATAAATCACAGTATATATGACAGATGAAAACCAGAGCTGCCCCAGTTGTAGGGAGAGTGTGGAGCTCGGTCCCAAGGCTGCCTTCTGCCTCCCTCCCAGGGCACCTCTGCCAGGCCCCTCACAACAGTCTGGTGGCTGCCCACCTGTGGCTGGTGCTCTCCACCCCTCCCATCCCTGGCGCTCTGTAGGTTGAATGGGAGGAGACCAGCAGGGCTGGAAGGAGGGCAGTCCACAGCAGGCGGGCCCGTAGCTGGCTCCTCACCTGAATTCTGCCCAGTCCCTGCACAGGGGTGATCAGATAGCCCCTGGGTGTAGCCACATTTGCTGGGTGCTTCCCATGCATTTTTGCTGCCTCACATCATGCCCTCGAAGGTACGTGTCACTATTTCCATTTCACAGGTGGGTAAACCAAGACACAGAAGGAGGAAGTAAGTTGGCCCACAAGTTCACTTAGCTGGAATCTGGAGGAGCCCAGATTTCTCCTGGGCCTTTGAGGCTCCAAGGGCTGCCTTCTCCCCTTGGGGCCTCCTCTCTTCCTCACAGAGAACTGCCACGCTCCTAGGGGCCAGCCCGCATACAGGTGGATCCTGGGCCCCAGCAGTGATGGTTCCTGTCCCTTGTGTTTCTGTGGCGTGCTTCAGTTTGCAGAATTCCTTCCGACATGATCTCATTTTGCTGGTGCCAGGATGATTTGTCTAAGCAGGACTCTCCTTTCTGTCACCATGCAGGAGACAGAACCATCTGAGCCCAGAAGCACGGAGGTGATGAGGAAGCCCAAGGCTACTGCTCCTGCGAACAAGAGGCCCAAGAAGGAGGCCAAGAAGAAGCGGTAGAAGAGAGGCCTGCGGAGCAGCGGGCTGGTGGGGCAGGGTGGGGGCCTGGGCTGGGCAGCCCTCCTGGGACTTAATGTCCTGTTTCCTCACTGTGTCCCGGGCTCAGGAGCTGAGGTGGCTGGGATGCCCTCTGACCACAGAGATCTGGATTTTTATGACAGTCCCTAGGCCCCTGCTGGGCAAACCACCACTTCCTCTTCCTTCTGCTTCCTTGACCCGTTAGAGCCGCGGGGCTCAGCACCCTGTGGGCAGAGACTGTCTTAGAAGTCTGTTTGTTCAGAAGTCAGGTCAGCTCACAGAGTCACGTTTCCTTACTTAATCATCATGTCCAGCCTTGGGTCCTCCACCTTGTGGATTTACACTACATATTAGAGTTTGTCTTGTGCTGACAGGCACTGCCCTCTGCCACTATTTGTGCACCGCAGACCTGCTAATCAGTTGCCTTTGTCTCTGCTTGTGCAGATGGAGCCAGGCCAGGCCTCCCAGTTGTTTGGGTCAAGATGCCATGGCCATTGCAGTGTTAGGGGGCCCACTAGTGCAACAGGCAGGTCTGAGAGGTGCTGGCGTGAGAGCTAGCAGAAGATGCCGGCCAGGGCACTGCCTGGCTCTCCTCCGGCAGCTGGAAGGGATTTGGCTGAATGAGTGTACCTTCTCAGGCCC